ATGCTTGCATATCTTAAAAAGTTCGTAACTAATCTGTGATCACTGAATATCCTGTTGCATTTTCATAAAATGAGATACAAAATGCCACTGTTGCAAATATCACTTACAAAGGCAAAAGACTAACTCGGCATATGCCATAGTTGCGAATGCCACCATGTCTGCAGTGCTTTCTGATGATTCTAAACCTGAATAGGTTGACCTGTAGATGACCTCTTCCTAATGTTATGAAGTGTTCCCTGTGAACCTTTCTAATCACGTGTGCTTTCTCACACGTAGTAGTCCACTACGCAGTGGATAGAGACCTAAATATAAGATGTATACCGAGTCTCCAATAGTCAACCTGACTATAACAATGTTTATAGTGTTATCTATGACCCTAGTCATGAGGTAGCAGTGAGATACTGTCACTTTATCCTTGCTAGGTCTTCGCTGAGCAGCTACTGAATGTTTACCTGCAGTTTGCTGGTCTGACTGTAGTCAAGCATATAAGCTTGAATACCCCTTGAGAGCGAGGACAGATCCCAACTGATCCTGATAATCAGAAGTATCGAGTTCTCTTTAGGATGAGGTTCTGGTGCAGAGAATGGGGTTCTTAGAAACAAGGAGGAAGAGGTTAGTCTTCTTTCACTGTTTCATGTCCCTTATAGAGCTAGAACCTATAGTCCAGGGTACTAGTACAAGGGGTCTCCGCAGTACAGTACCCTAAGCTAACCATAAGAAAACCATAACCATGAAATGTCTGGTGATTGCTGCAAGCCAAATAATTGGTAAGCTAGATGTTAGCAGACTTGGAATGTGAAAAACATATCCTGAAACACTAAAGTCTCAATAGCAGATCCTAAAGTGAGTCTAATCATAAAAATGAAAAACTGCTAACCCTAGAATATTGTTCACGAGACCTATGACTCATAAATAGGAGATTACCTATCATGTGACTTGAAAGAGACACTGAAACCATAACAGAAACTTGCTCGATACTGCTTCTCCTTCACAAGAGTTCTTTTGTACTATGATTTAGTTGCCTTGAAATATGAGGCTACTCTCGCTTTACTCTTTCTTGGTGCTCCATGCATTATTTCTGTTTTTAAAACCTGCACCCTGTCATTTAGTTTAGTCTTTGCATTCCTGATGTCTCATTGTTTGGATGCTGTCTGCTTCTTACTTTCAAAAACTGCAGGCTTCACTGAATCTCACCTGCTCCTTGAAAGGCCTTGTCTTTTTTTTTATCTCATCTCCATTTCTCACAGATTCTGTCTGCTTCTTCAATTACTTCTGAACTACTGGTTCTCAGCTTTCTTATTTGATCGAGCCTTTATTTTCATTTTTCAGACATCCAGATATCATGCTCATCAGCAATGATATTCTAATTAGCACTGATCTATCAGTGATGCCTTCAAAGCACACATATGCATGCATCACCTCCCCAGAAGTGGCTTAGTCATTCAAGGCATTGAGGTGGCAGCTAATATGCTATTAAATACATTTAACTTATCTTTTCTTTATTTGCAGCCTTGTACTTATTTACAGTCATATACTCATCAAGACAAAAATAAAGTGCAGGCATGTACTCATGTCTGCAGCCTTGTACTTGTTAAGATAGAGATAAAGTGCAAGCATATACTCATGTCTGCAGCCTTGTATTTGTTAAGATAGAGATAAAGTGCAAGCATATACTCATGTCTGCAGCCTTGTATTTGAAAGAAAAGTGTGCTGGCAGTGCTTTAAATTTGCAATCCTCACAAACTGTTCATCTTTAGCCAATGGCATCACAAAGATGTTGATATGATATTTGTATATTTATGACAGACTTTTCATTATCTAAGAGGCCTGAGAATGTCTTTGAACAATGCTTCTCAATAATCACTAATGAAAGGTTGGGAAGATATTGAAAAGAATATTAGAAATAAATCATGCATAATATCTGAAATACTTTCTTAGTTATTCACTGCCACATATAAGAAAGTTATGTTGAACAATGTTTACATAATTTGAGACAAGATATGCTGTCAATATTTGAATTCTCTCTTGGACATTATCTCAATCATTTAGCACACATTGTTTCACCCAGTGTGGGTAGGAGACTGGGTCACGCCGAGCACGCTGAACGTGTCATGCTGCTGATGATTGGAGGGCGGCGGCAGCTGCTGTTGCTGCTGATGTGTGAATATCGTCAGAGACAATGTGCACAGTGAGCTAACCAATGCTGGACTGAGGGCAGTGATGGCATTTTCGCGAACTTTTGCTGCCGGCCATTGACTGAAGCCACCAAGTTTGAAACGGTGCTGTTTCAAGGACGAGAAGCACAAATTGTAGACAGGTAAGTTGAGTGCGGAGAGCTCATAATGAATTGTCTTGGTATAATTACATATGTTCCTATGATCTGCCACTAAGCAGAATTGGAGACGAAGGGTATCAAGTGTCTAACTGAGTCGTGGGTGAGAAAAAGAAACCCGCAGAAAAGGCAAACATGAGACTAAGTGTGATAACAAACGGCAGCAAAGAGCTGCGTGCACTGGGCGTATGAGTGTAGCGTACCTATACTGGCACTTCCACGCTGCCCTTCTCTTTCGTGCAGTACCGCTCACGAAGGTACGCGACGGCCGAATCGTCGTGCTTCTTGCGCATGAGCCCACGCGGCCGGACGTCGGAGTCGTACTCTGTACCAATGAGTTTTGTGTTGATTAGAGCTGGATAGAAAGCCTTCCCGTTTTCGCCGACCCAGTCGAAGTCGATGAACTGTGCTTTGGTCCGGCCATCGCTATCGTCGTCAAGGATCATAACGTTCGTGTCGCGGAGATCACCAAACACAAGTTTTTTGCTATGCAGGATCTCCAAAGCGTGGTTGATGTCCTCGAAAACCCTGCTCGGAAGGCTGTTAAGAGGATAGTCGCACATGCGCTTCCCATGCACGCGCTCCATCACGACCATCTCACGTCCACCGATCACGGATTCACAGGCGTACAACCGTGGCGCGTAATGCTTGACTGCAAGCTCCTTGTGCGCATCCTTGTTGTACGTGACTGCAAACTTGACGACTGCTTCCACGGCTGAGGATGATCCTTCGGCGGTGTAGTCCGCAAGGAAGAGCGGGCGCATTTTCGGTTTATCTCCTTCTAACACGATCTCTTTGTTCTCTCGGCTTAACTTGCATTTGAATTTCAACGCCGGCATCGAAGAGTTTGGGGAGGGAACGACGGATGGACGAGGTAAGTGCCACGTCTCGTCTCCAGGAGCACCATCGCCAGGCGGTGTTTGCTCGAGGCGGTGCCATTCGGCACGAAGCTTGCGTACACAGTCTTCCAATGCCGAGGCGATCAGGGCCAGTTTGGTGATCGACTCGTCGTCATCGTCTCCATCGCGGATCTCGAAATGAAGGATTTTGTCCACGAGGACCTTCTCTAAGCATACCGCTATTGAAACCTCGATCACGGTGCCCGTGATGCCGATAATGATAAAAGGGAATTTAGTGTTCTTGAATTTCTCCTGTTCGACCTCTACGTCAGCGACCAAAACCCCACGGAGAAGAGTTTCTACGGACCTTGAGACTGTATAAGCTTTTCGCGAACCAGTACGTGCCCTGTAGGATCGGATCGCCGCCCACCCCATATTCGTTCTTAAGCTCCAAAACGAGATATCGCTTCCAGACAGCGTCTGCTACTTTTGTGCCCCTCGAGGCCTTCCCCTTGCTATCGTTCCCGCTTTTGTTCCTTTTGCTCGAGCTTCCTTTCCTGGTCTCCGGATCCTCAGAGTCATCACTGGGCATCTGCTCCTCGAGGTCTTCCGTCCCAAAAATGCATTCACAGAACGGTTTCACTGCTGATGACCACCGCTCCGATTCCTTCGGATAGAAAGCACGCGATTTAGTGAAATACCTCTCGGATGCGTTGAATAGTTTGCTGTCGAGCCGTATGAATCTATCAGGCAGATCCCCCTCATCGCCTTTCACCATCCGAGCATTCTTGATCTGCAGACCAAGCGTGTCGAGTTGATGTTGCAAAGTAGCCAAGTCCGGATGGTAGAGCGACACAGGCAGGCCATATTGACCTTCCTCGGTCAAAGCCCGGCCGTTGAATATGAGTTCGTGCATCTTCGCAATGTCAGCCGGGTTGTTGAGGGAGACATTCCCCACTCTCTCAAAGGCCTTAAGGTATTCTTTACGGTCTAAGATCAGGTCAGAGCTCAGTGGAGATGATGATGTTGGCGGGGGGGGAGGCGGCTTACGCTCTATTGCAGGAAGCTCTGTAGGAATATCTCTAGCCTCTTCGGTTTCGGCACGGGTGTGTGCTGGCGGCTGTTGGGACGGCGGTTCTGTCTTCAAGTTAGCCCTCTGAATTGCCGAGGAAGGTCAAAACGCACTGGGCATCTGCACGAGCAGCGTCTCGTCCTTCGAGAGCTTTAGATCTGCTATCGTGCGCCTCACGCCGAGTCGTTTGACCTTCTGGTTGAAGAAGGCCTCGCTGACTTGACCCTCCAACGTTTCGTGGTCTTCATCGTCTAAAGTAGTGGTCGGGTCGATGCATCTCCATACGATGAGGCTGGCAGAGTCAACACCAGCAGTGCCGACTGATCTGTCTTCCTTGACCTTCTTCCTCAAGCGGTCAACCGTGTCCACGGAAGATACAGTGACTTCGAAGGGCGTTCCGATGAGCTTCTTCTCGTGATCAATGAGGAGGCACCAGATGTTCATCGTCGTGGCTATGGTGGGAGGATGAGTGCGGCGTGATGTGTGTTCGTGACACGAACACACACCAGCGTTCTCCAAACAGAGCCAAATATCTTCACCGGCCCGTCGGCGGGAGCCGTACGCACTGCAGACATTTGCCACTGCTATCCGAGATTAATTCGTCGGGAGCTTCAGATTCTACACATTATGAATAATGAAACATGCGTGGATTGAGTGTGTGATCTTGCTTGTAATCAGCTCGTCTTTGTATCGTTCACAACACGTTGTATTTTGTGCGTATGTGTAACTCGACGCTTTTCGTGATCAGGGGTTTCACGCAGTGCCGTGTCTTTTCCTTCCTTGACTCTGCTCACTCATATCACTCTTCTCAACTCGTCTCCGTTTTTTTTGAACACAACATCTATAACCAGTGCATCGCCTTTTCATTCTTTCACTGCCTTCCCCTACTAGCGGTTGTTTGCCCTTTTTTAAGTGGACCACCATTCCCTTTTTGACTCTTAACCACCACCATCGCCACGGGCGGCTAAAGCTGTTTGGGGAATCCAGCCCCCGCCTGTACCCATTCACGACCATGGAGGACCTGAAAGCCCCTCCAACGACATTTCATGCCCACCGAGATTTTCCGCGACGAGGCTGAGCGCACCGATTGCCTCGTAAGTCCCCCTCTCGCATCTTTCACCCCGGCGCCAAACACTGTGCGCCCTCACTCCATCTTCGCCCAACGTGCTCGCCTCTCCGTCCGCCACATTGCATGCCCGCGCCGAATACGGGACCAACATGCAGGCCTAGCAACACCTAAACGCAGGGGATCCAGTTGTTTTATCCGGCCTGCTGCGTGGTAGAGTTCGCCGCGCGTCACCCTTGCCTGTTGTCGACTACACAGTTATGTCCCCCCCTTTTCCTTTCCCCTTCACCTCTACCTCGACATCTCTTTGGACGTCTGCTCTCCCGCCCTTCAGCCCGCCTTCGTGCATTTTCCCTAACCCTGGTCCGCCTTCCTCCATGTTACCCCCGGGTGTTCATCTTAGAACTGCTCCCGGAATGCGTGGAGGGTCTGGTGGGAGTATTTTGGTGGTTCGATCCCACTTACACAGGGATTACTAACGAGTCAAAGGACTGGCTGCGGCTGCGGATTGGAGTGGGTCGTGCATATGCATTTGCCAGTTTGTCGACAGTTTGCAAGGACCATGACACAGCTTACCCTACTATACGCCTGCTCTGCTACGTCCGTGGGGACCTAGATACGCCACGCTAAACTTACTTCGTCCCACTGCGGTGGTCCTACGCCAAACCACGTCTTGTAGAAACACCTTCGACACCGCCTCCGGCGGTGTATAAATATAGTATTTAAAAAA